TCTCTCTCTCTCTCTCTCTCTCTCTCTCTCTCACACACACACACACACACACACACACACACACACACACACACACACACACACACACACATATTTGCTTGCTCTTTCAACCACACCCATGGAATACAATCGCAGTCCAAAATACTTGCTCTATTTGGAGAGATGTCTACGAAATGCAAGGGTGGGTGCAAATGCAATGCCAATGGGTTCCAAGTGATGGGACAAAATAGGGCGCACATGGGGTTTGGTCCTTCTGACATCCTTACAGATTGCTTGAGCAGGGTAATGTTCTGCATAATCTGCCCGTTTCTTCTGATTGTATGCGTACATTATAGCCACACATACTATAAGGCCACCAACAACGGCACTTGTGATTATAGCAGCCGTTTCACCTGTTGACAGGCCTTTATCCTCTTTCACAATCAACGCTGCACAGTAAATTACAGAGAAGAAAATTGTAAGTCAGTGAACGCATCTGAATTCTGTCTTGATGATGTGGTCATGGGTGCCTCACAAGTGACAAGGATTCCTTTTCAGTTGTGGTGTATTCCCAGACATTCGCAGGATGATGTCATTCAATGAAGCATGAGGCGACACAGGCTTCCCAGTCAAGAAAGTAGAAATACCAAACCAGAAGATTGGAAAAAATGTTGGTGTTCCCTGTTGGAGAGCAACCTAAAGAGTTGCAGAAGCTGCAAAAGGCAACATTCATGCAATCTGAAGTGTCCACTCACACTCTGTAACCAAGGAGCTAACTCAATAAGAACTTTCCGCTCCCAGCAAAAATTCTGAAATGACATGAGCGATGCAGTTACATATCCCATGAAGCCACTGTCCGAACCATAGAGAATGACCTTTGGTGGCAACTCGGAAAGGAAACTAACACTGCAGTGAACTATCAATTCTCACCCACAGAGTGCTCCGTACGACCTTCATGAAGGGCCATTCACCATAGACTTGGGACTGCATAAACAGTTGACAGACTCATTCTTGAGCCTTTTCTTATCCTCTCCTTTGCCTTGTACACTCCGTACTTTCCTTTGGTTTCCCTTACTTTCCCCTTGTCGTTCTTTGGTTTTCTCTCCATCTCTCTTCCCTGTGTTTATCCCCTCCCCCCATACTCTGCCTCTTGCTCACGTACAAGTGGGTGGTTATGGCACACGGGGATGTGGACAGCTCCCGCCCAACTTCACCAACATGACGAGCCTTGTACGTGATAGGCACAGTTAAAAGACGAATGAGAAAAATGAATGGTTTCAGTGTGCCCTTCATGTTGGTCTTGGTTTTTAATTTTGCCGTTTGTTTCGCGAAGTGCGCGCTTTTAGTTCATAGATATGTGACAATATACACTTCATGACAAATGAACAAAAGCAAGATGAAGAAGTCAATGTCTGACTCACTTCTCATCACCTTATGCCACCTTCGTAATGCCTCCAGTCATCAAACAGGAAACTTGCTACAGTAAATTTATGTTCATTGATTCTCCAAGGACCACCTCCCACAGCTGCCCGAGAGATGCCACAGTCTTTGCTACGACAAGAGTCACAAGACTCGAGCAACCTCCTGTAATAGCCCACCATAGCCCAACACCATCACTTCCTTCTAAAAGTGCCTTCCCCCTAAAAGTGCGACCCATGTGCTCATCAAAAACTCAAGAATGTCTGTCCTATGCGTCACACCACCACTCCCAATGTCAACCATAGGCAAGTGCAGGTAATGGTCCTTCTTCCTGAACATCCAGCCAGAAGCACGTTCAAGTATGCTTAGTGCAGCTGTCTCCAACTTGTTGCTGCTTGCTTAGGCAGGCATTGATAAACGAGCAATCAAATGTTCACCCATACTAAGTTCTGGGTTTATAGTGACTACCACAGTCGTATCCAGCCAGAAGCTTCAAGCCCCGTCCAGAAAGAGCAAGATTCTTCTGGCAAGGTTCTGATGCAGAGAGTAGTTTGTAATACTTTGTATCACAATGTGAAAGACAACCAACTGTTAACACGACATTCAGAATGGACCTTAGGGTACTGCCTGTTGGGGCTTTGGCTACAGGATATCTCAGGACAGATCCTCCCATTTGAAATACTTTCACGAGTGTCCCTCCCCCTCAAATTCCCAACCTGTTCTCTCACAGCAGAAACGCAGATTCTTTCCTACAGGAGTCTAAGGACCCTATCTTGGGACCATATTCGCGGCGCACCACGGTGCGCCGGTTTGCGCACGAGTTGCGCATGCAGCGCCGCGCTCAGCGAAAAATAGTGGTAGGGGAATTTTTATTTTCTTTTGGGTTTCCGTTCATACGGCGGGCCCCCACCCCAGCAAAAATGACGGCTGGGGCACGCGGCTCGGGAAACCGGCCGCGCCCTGCCTCCGAAATGTTTTTTGGGGGACGGGCCGGCCGAATTCGAAAATTCGAATTCGGCAGGCCCTTCCCCCAAAAAACGTTTTGGAGAAGGGGGACAGCCATTTTCCGGAGCGGTGGGAAGCAGCAGCAGGCAATCGTGAAGGTGGGCGCCCACCACCTCTCTCTCTCTCTC